CATACTCCTGGTAGAGACTCCTTTTTAGATGCATTCATACATAATATTTAGTGAATTTTTTTTTTGAAGCATCTTCAAACGGAAGCCGAACTTTTTTTTCATTATCGGTATTTCTTTGTAGTTGACTTATTGTTTGTATGGACTATAACCTCAAATACTTAGTGATCAAAAATATCGTATAGGGTGTTTACGAAATAAATATTTATTTTACGTAGATTTAAACACCAAAAACTTCGTTATTTTAAATAGAACACCCAGTATATTTTAACATTATTAGAAATATCTTTCGAAACCCTTTCAAACAATATACATAGGTATTCCCTATACCTATATGTATGTTGTTGTTTTAGAGAATAGTCTAGTTCTTATAATTTATGTAAATAATTCATTAAATTTAGTTAATCAAGGTGTCTGGGTATTGATTGTCAATTTATGTCATTTTAATTTAAACTGTTTCCAATAGGTATTATTTTGTGTTTTGTGCAATGAAGCAATATTCTATGCAAAAAATGGTGGATATGATTCTCACCATAGGTGAGTGTTATGAAATCAACCGGATAAGAGAACTTTTGAATGAGTTTTAGAACGTTTTCGTACAATAGGCAGTGTTGCATATTCAAAACAAACTGTGAGTAAACCCGTAGTTGATAATGAAGACAACGAATTTCTAGTATTAGGTTCAGTAACCGAGAATCCTCACATTAGCAACAGGGAAATTTTCGAGGCAAACGGATATACCTAGAACCAGTGTAATGAGAATTCTCAAGAAACACCGATTCCACCCTTACGATATCCAATTTCATCAACATTTATATGATTCTGATTTTCAACGACGCATAGATTTTAGTTTATGGGCGCTAGAACAGGTAGGAGAAAATAGAGACTTTTTCGATTTTGTCTTATTTACAGACGAATCCACTTTCCATAACAATGGCTTAGTAAATCGCAATAATTTCCATTACTATGATACAGAAAATCGGCACCTATTTAGAACTATTGACCGACAAAACAGATGGAGCATAAATGTTTATGGGGGGATTATTGGAGACAAAGTTATAGGCCCATATTTTTTTAATAGTCATCTAAATGGAAATAATTTTTTGAGGTTCCTTCGTTCAGATTTTTGGCTGCTTCTCGAAGATATACCATTGAACGTACGGCAACAAATGTGGCTACAATTAGATGGTGCTCCTTCTCATTTTGCGCGGCTCGTGAGAAATTACTTAGACCGGAATTTTCCTAATAAATGGATAGGAAGAGGAGGCCCATGCCATTGGCCACCTAGATCACCCTGTTTAACACCCCCAGACTTTTTTTATGGGGTTACATAAAAAGTCTTGTATACAATACTCCAGCAACCACGCCAGAAGATATGCATTTGCAACTATTACGTCGGATATGCTAAAAATAGTAAGAAATTCGTTTGAACGAAGGATCACAATGTGTATTTAAGAAGACGGTCATCATTTTAAACGTCTATTAAATTAATTTATTATCTTGTATTATTTTGTAATTCGTGTTTCAAAAAAAAAAAATGTAACAATGTTAGTAAAACTATCACAGATAGGTATAGGGAAAGGGTTTCGAAAACAAATAACGTTAAAATTTATTTGGTGTTCTATTTAAAATAACGAGGTTTTTAGTGTTTAAATCTACGTATAATAAATGGTATTTCGTAAACACCCTATATAATATTTTTGATCAGTAAGTATTTAAGGTTACAGCCCAGAAGACGCTTAATGTACCTTAAAAAAATCAATTTGAAATATTAAGAAATGTAGGATATATTTGCATTGTTTAAACACCCGAAAATTTTGAAAATCCTCGAATATATCAAAAATTATAGACTCTAGGTATAACAACCCCTTAACAAAGTTACACTAATTTTCTTTATAGACTTCAAAAATTCAATAAAATATAGGGTGTCCCGATTAAAAAACCTACCGTTGATATATTCCAATTTCCTGGAGCACCCTGTATTATTGAAATTATTTTTAAATTGTTGCCTTTTCTAATATACATCTCACCGTAAAAACCGATTTTTTAAAGAAAGTTTAGTTTTGGATATACAGACCGAGGCGTTACCGGTGGACCACCCTGTATATAAAACAAGAATTTTAAACTTATTTTAACAATTTCAACGACACACCCCAAACTTTGTTCTAAAGGCAAGCCAAATACATAATAATAAAAGAATAAAATAAAAATAAAATAAAAAAAAAATTTCTTGTAGAACTGTTGATGGGTTTAACATTATTAAAAAAAAACAACAAGGCTTTAAAGCAGGAAAAAATATTTTACCAATAATCAGTGCCGAAAGCTTTGCCCACACATACACCAGTTTTATTTCTCACTAGCACCTAAAAACCCAATTACTACAAGAAAAAGTATTAAATGCTTAGAAAAAGGAGGAGGGTTATTAATAAGTATTATCAAAAAAATTACAGTCTCTACACAACAGCCAATGCAGATGATCTGGACATTCTGCAAGTCCTGCGAAAGAATTTACTGTCTATCAATTTCGAAAAGGATTATAATGGAATAAAAACCTTCAGAACTCCAAAATCTGCTTTGATAGTAAGTGGAGCTCACACCTAGAAAATAGAGTCAAAAGGTATACATTGCTAATGAACAATACTGCAGAACCAAGGAGAACATCTTGAATTTCTTCCTCACCACATAGACATATCATAAGACCTATACTAACATATGGTACAGATGTCTGGTTAAAGAAAATCCTACAAATGACAATTAACTGTTTAAAAACTAGAACAAATACAAAGAACCAAATGTCTCATCAACCAAAGCCACATAAATCATTCTTAGTGTCGCTTCCCTTGATTTTTACATTGGAAGATTACTCTGATGACAATGAAACGACTCCGCAAGGTTGGAATAGAACTTGATGTAGGATCTAGTGAGGCGAGACGTCGCTTTTGACAGAAGACACTCGATACGCTTTCACTGCTTTAAGGTAACCTAAACACCATCTCAGTGAGATATACCTTTCAAAAACCATATAACGAAACAAATAGAACAACTGAAAGTGATATAAATAAGGCCCAAATATTAATCTGATATGACCTAGAATACTGTTTACAAATTTGGGATCCCAAAGCACCTACAAAACTTTTCTTTTTTGACACATTCACTGCCCAAAACGCACCTAGCGCGTTCACCTGTTTTATCGTTATGTGCTCCCACCGCGCTGGTTTGTTTTGGTTCATGTTCTAGGATTGTATCAGAATCATGCGCAGAACCATTGCACAATGGTCCTTAATTCTGAACAGTTTTGTAACCATTCCATTTGTACTCGAAACCAAAACGTTACCAGGATAGTTAAATGTCAAAAAGTAAATTATAAATAAAAAAAGAAATAACACAGAGTCAGTGTCTGAGTAAGAAAGAGGCCATATAATATTGTAATACGTAGATAAATTAACTAATTTATTCATAAAAATTTTTATGACTTTGTAATATGCCCTTCCACATACCTTATTATCTTTTACACTATAGGGTCTATGATGGTTTAAGCAGAATTAAATGAAGCAATTCTTTAGTTGAAAGTTTGTGGAAATCACTGGAAATAATCCTGAAGTCAGTTAAAGTTATCTGGAAGTAAGGTGAGTCAGTGTAAGTCATGTGAAGTTATTTAGAAGTCAGTAGAGTCATGTTTAAATCAAAAAAAGTAATCTGGAAATCCAAGAAAGTTCATAGAAGTCTACGGAAAGAAAGTAGATGATATGGAAGTTTGGAAGTCCGGTAGCGGTTTTTGACAAAAAAATAATAATGCAATTTATCCAGAATTACATAAAGAACACAAAAATGGACAAAGAAATAGGGGTTTCTATTTAAAATTTTAGGGGTAGGTAGGCTGGGAGTCAGGGGTTTTAAAAGTAATACGACAATAAATAAATGCCTCAACAATTGTGTCTCCCTTGATATGCAAATTGACGTGTTTCGCTAAATACTATCATTGGTAGAGGCAAAATTAAATACTGTTCGTTATTAAATTGACACCCTATACAGGGTGATCCATTAGTGTGAAAAAGTCCTATATCTCCGCCATTATTAGAGATTCAAAAAAATATTTTCACAGAACGGTAGACAGCGTTAAACTACATATTTTAAAATTATTTATGAATATACAGGGTGTTTAATAACTTCCCTCTGGAACCAACTTATGTTCTTTTTAATGAATCACCCTATATTTTATTTTTTATTTGAATTGCCCTCGCTTTTCCCATTCTAAAACTATAAATTATTATTGGTTTATACAGGGTAGGGTATCTTGCAGGATATAATCAGTTTTATATGAAAATCGTATTGAATTCAATGACCTATATCATGCAAAAGAAACCATTGATAACCAATTTTTTTTCTACCACAATTTTTCAATCATGGTCAAATTTTATCCAGAGACACTACTTTCTTCAATTCGCATCAAATCTCTACAGGGTGAGTCAAAACACAAATACATATTTTTAAAAAAATTTTAAATGGTTCACCCTGTATTTTATATCATCGTTCAAAAGTATCCTAATTATATTTTAATTTGACTTAAGCATTCCTTATACCAAAAGTTAATAGTTTTTAGACATTTTTAAATTTTAGTGGTAAAAACGATAATAACACCCTGTATATTCAAAAATTATATTAAAATATTTAGTTTAACGCTGTCTACCGTTCTGTGAAAATATTTTTTTTTATATCTCTAATAATGGCGGAGATATTGGACTTTTTCACACTAATGGATCACCCTGTATATTATGCACCGAAATGTAAATTAATTACATTTTTAGAAAAACTTATACTTTGAAACAATTATCATGAAGAATTTTAAATTTTAACTTGTTTTTGTAAATAAAAGTGTTTGTAAAAATCTACCAAGTTTAGTTTCTTCATTTAAAAACAATCAATAGTACTATTTCTCCCTAAGAAAAGTTTTGGGGTCTTTTATGGATGTTTCAATGAGTAAAAAAAATATCAAAACGACTTACCTGAGGCGTCCAACTGCACAAATGCGACGATCTAGTCTGACTCTTCGACCTCGACCTAAAAATCTTCTTAGCCATCAGTCGACTGCCGTGGTGCATAACACTCGAAGAAGACTTGCTCTTCTGCATGGCCCCGCCAGAAGACACTGCTGAAGAAGAAGATTTGTCACTTTTATCATGTTTATCACTCTTATCATGCTTATCACTCCTATCATGCTTATCACTCTTATCATGCTTATCGTGCTGCTGTTTCCCGTGCAGCAAATGGCTCAAAAATGAATGACCGCTTTTTGCCGAAGGCGGAGAAGAAGGTAAAGATTTAGCTCCAACTTCGTCTACTAACCCAATATCCATGGAGCTGCGCGAGCTCGAAAACCGGCTTTCTGTGTCCGAAACGTCGTATAAATCCGCGAATTTAAGATCACGATAGTTTAGAATCCACTCATCGTTTGTTTGACAACCTTTATTTAATCCGTCATCGTCTCCTGGTTTTGTTATTTCACCTTTTGCTTTTATATTCCTTAAATTTCTGTCGTAATTAACTCTTTTAAACCTATCTACTTTGTCAACGTCTACACTCTTTTTACGCGCCATTCTTAGATATCTTTTAATTGTGTCACTTACTGATTGGGATACGTCGTCGTTATCAACACTGCTTCTTCTGCGAAATGATTTGCCTTCTCGGGAACACGATTCTTCAGCAGTCTTTTCCTCTTGTAGTTTCTTGTAATCTTCTTCGATTCGCTGTAATGCAGATTCGGAAATTGGTAGAGTCTGAGTGCCCCAATTGTGGTAGGTTATTTCTTGCGTAGCACTTTGGACTTCTATTAGAGGAGGTGGGTGATTTGTTGAAGGACTATCTTTTAGCAATCTGCTTTTAGGTTTTAAATTATCATGGTATTTGTTGGTTAAATGTTCGTGGTATTTTAATGGATTTTCATAGTTGCTTCTTTGTGGACCATACGCATAAGATGTAGTATAACCAGTACCACCTCTGCTGCCTCTAAAACCTTTAGTCTTTCTTAATTCAAAATAAAGCTTCTCTAAAGCTCTTCTATCTGTTAGAAGATCTGATATAATTTTATCTCTGTTAGTAGTTTGGCTGTAATACCTACTAAGAGTATCAAGAAGAGTTCGTTGAACATGATCGCCTTCAAAGTGCACGTGTTGTGTATGGGAAGGAGAATGTGTTCTACGAGTATTATCGTATTGCTGACCACCATGTATAGTAAGATGTCTTTGTAGTTTATCAACTAAATCTTGATAGTTAAAATCTGCTTTGGGTTTCTCAGCTACAGATTCACCTTTACTTATCGATAGGTATTTTTCTAGCATACTAATAAGTTGGACTTCTTCGGCGCTTTCTTCGGATTGTTCTGGTGAACTCATTTTTTGATCGTAATTTGAATATCCTGATGCTGAGCCATTTTTGGTAAGAAATTCCTCTTTCATACGGCGTACATCGAATTTTCCAGAAGTGGTCTGTTCGATATTAAGATGGGTGGGTCTAACAGGTTTATCAGATTTTCCAAGACTTACTTCGTCAGCTGATACTGCATTGCGACAACTACCACCTTTACGGGAGACTCTTTTTTTCTTGTTTCTGAAGCTTAGAGCACCTGGGTAGGAGTTTTTTCGCCATAATAGAAAACGCGGTTCTTTCTTACAAACTTCTTGGAAATATGCTTCGATTTTTGGTATGTCTTCTGGTCTGTTTTGAGCACCGTCTGGTATGAGTTTTCGGCCGGCATCTGCCATGTATCTCCAGGTTTTTCGGGTCAAAAGCCAGCGTTCTTTAGGCTTGGCTTTTTTGCTCTTTTTTCGTACAGATTTGCCCATCGTGATGGAATAATCTGTTGATTCAGTGCTGGCACTTCTACCGAGCAATTTTAATTTAGCGGCTTTCTTCTCAGACATCTTTTAGCTGAATTGCGATCTTGACACTGGGTTCACAAATCATTTGAAAGACTGTACGAAATAATATTCATGATTTAAAATTCTGTTGGCACTTACACGGAGTTTATAATCTTCTTCAATTAAAATATATTCAACAATACGCTATATAAAATAGTCTAAAATTGAAACAACTTGGCACTAAGGATTTAAGCGTAGGTTTTGAAAAATTTGAATTGCTGAATTTTATAACTTTAATATCAATATCTTAACTTATGATATTTATTTATAAATAGTACACTTATTAATTTGTTGTAAGAAATTAGTGTTAATGTTATTATCACCAATGTTATTTAGTGTTTACTGTCACATTATTTTATTTAAAAGTTATTTTAGAAAAATTGTGTTTTTAGCACTATTTATCGCGCGTTGAAGTTAAGATCCTTTTTGTCGAAATTTGTCAAAACGGCTGTAGGTGAATTTTGAGAAGCCATTTTACCGATATTTAAGTTTTTTTTTAAATGCGCGGTCACTGTAGCTCAGGTCGGTTCGGACTGAGGAGACAGACCTAAGAGTGCGAGTTTGGTGGAATAAAAATATCACATTTGGCAACAGATATGTGGCGAGCTAGACGTGAAAATAAAGATAAATATTAGATCATAGAATAAAGTTTACGTATAAATGAAAAAGTATTTGACGACTTTTTCTTTCTTTATGGATTAATCTCGAGCTATTTTTAATCGATTATTGCGTGTATGTGTGCGAGTGTGCATTAAAATAGAATGTTTGAACTTGAGTAGTATTGGTACTTTTAATTTTTCCGAGTGAACCTGAAATATGCAACCTGAAACACCCGAATTTATATCGCTTGCAACATGTCACTGTATGTACACGGTGGACCACTTTAAAGTTCAATTCCCACTTATCTTCGTTATTAATAATTGAGATGTTTGAATGATTTTTTGTTAAAACATTTTTTGGAGTCCAGACTTTATTATGAGAAATTCAATTATTCTGTGTCGTCGTGGCGTAACCTCGGGTTTTTCCGGAAATAAAATTTTAATTTATTGAACCTTTTAAGATAAGAATCTTTCTTTGAAATTGTTTTGTCAGCTGTCAAAAGGGTCGCCATATTGGATAATCATATTTATAAGAGCTGGTTGTAGAATAGCCAGTTAAAATGTAATCTTAGTTTAAATTGTGATCCATCGGTTATTGTTAAACATGATTTTAAAAATGACATTAGTACCGTTGTATCAAGATATCATAGTAGGATAATCTTATGGACACTTTGATTACGATGGATACAACATGTAGATGGCACCACTCCCATTGGTATCTAAGTCAGGTCTTTAGGTCATGTCGGTGTTTGAGTGTGAATTATAGTTTAAAATCTTTTTTATTTCAACGTGTCTTTGGTAATTTAAAGGGTATTTGAAGGTCACAAGAATTTGGTTAACCGGGAAATAACCAATAAAGGCAATAAACCAGTTTTTGTTTTGGGAAAGATTGAATGGGTTAAGTAGAATTTTCCTATAATAGGGAAAGGAACATTGTTCTCTACGTTACGATTGTGGTTTTGGACGCAGAGTTGGACGGTTCACTAATATTTGAGTTTTGTGCTGTTAATTTTTTTTTACTTTTTATATACAGGGTGTCACATTAGGAATAGGACATAAACAACTAAAGAGTCTCTGGTTCAGTTTAAAAATACAGGATGTTAATATATAAGTTGAAAATTGAAAAATTTCTAACGGGTAGGTATCTATATATAATTTTATTATTCAATATAATTTTACTAAAATCAGAAACGTATTTGGTGTTATAAAATACACCTTTAACAGCGGAAAAATCAGTTAAATTTTAATAAACTATTTCAGTGGCGTTAGGGTTGCCAAACGTCATGATTTTAACAGGTTTAATGGGTAAAATATTTTGACATACCTATACCTATTCAATCAATTATTCATCTTTTCGACTTGAGAATATTACTTTTTAAATTTAATGAGAAGTTTTATGAATTATATATTTTATTTCCTTTAATATAAATTATTCCTTTTAAAAAATAGGGTCACGATTTTTTACCAGCTTTTTTATTTACTTGATTTGTAGATATTCCAACCTGGCAACCTTCTAAATATTAGGTATGCCACAGTCCAAACACTAATTTTGTATATAATTTTCAAATATTTTTAATGTTTTTTAATAAAATAATGTAGATATTCTTGTTGGAAACACATAATGCGATTGATTTTCAATATATTCCGAGATATATTCGAAGTCAGATATTTTAACTAGTAATTTTGTTAAATTATAATTAAGATTTACTTTGAAAACATAAAAAAAATTAAATTATAGTTAAAATTAATGATTGGGCAGTTACATAACATAAAATTACTTACCCGTACCGTACGCCACTGGTACGCCATATATCTAGTTAACCAGATAAATGGACCGGTTAACCGGATAATCGGACCGGTTAACCGAATATCCGGACCGGTTATAATAATAGTAAAAATCCGGTTAAAACCGAAAAAGGACAAAATCAGTCGAACCGGTTAACCGTTTATCACGTCAGGAATTGACAGCCTTAATCTTAAGTAAATAATTTTTTGTTACTTCCCATTCTTAGATTAATCTTTGCCACATTAAAAGTTATATTAGTCAATCAACTTAACATTATTTAAAATAGAGTACAAAATGTATCACAGCCTGTTGCTTTCTTCTTTGTAAAAGAGATTTATATGAGATCTTATTAGGATACGAGTATTTTTTATTACATAAAGGTACCGTAAAAATATTTTTTGTACTTTTTCAATATGATCAATATGTATGATTTCCAAGGGATCCAATTCTGTGAAACATACTGAAGATGAAGTCTTACTAAGGCATTATATAACCTGATTTTGGTGGTAATCCTAAACTATTTTGTATTTCTGATTTAAAAACCCTTACTTATGTGTAAGAAATGGTTATTGAACTTCAAATTAGACTGAAAGACAACTCCCAATTCATTTACCCCATATTCACGATTTAATGTAACATTACAGATCTTGTGTCTAATATAAAAAATTAAGAGGCCACGGATCCTTACAACTTAAAATATGCATATGTTTAGTGTTAAATAGACGGATAAAAGTGTTGATTTTTATTTACAACTATAATAAGAACCTATTAAAAAGATTAGTAGCAATAGAACATATTTCAACTTTAGGTACACATATTTTTGATACCTTATAATCAATAAACAATATATTTTTTAGAGTGACAACAGATTTATTAATACAGAACTATTATTTTGTTACAAATATTTATATTATAATATTTATAATTACCATAATAGTTGATATAAGTCCTATAAAAATAAAATATTTTGATTTAATTGTTTAGTTTAAGCATGAGCAATTTTCTTTGTAGCGTTGTTTACATTTTGCACAGAATTATTGTGTTTTGCTTTCAGCTGATAAATCATGTAGATGTAAATGGATTGACTGTAGACAATGTTAAGGTTTTTTGCTACTACTGCTGGCTGGAAATGCTGGGCTAGGGGCTGGGACACCCACAAAAATACAAGGAAGCATAAAGTATTAGATCAGTTTTTATCACTAATACTCTTAAAATTTACAACCATTTAAGTAACTAGCATGTTGGAAATACTTCACGATAATATATTAAACATAAATCAGTTGAATGCAATGTATTTTCTTCTTATTACACACCTTTTTTAGCTTTATTACTTTTAGTACTCTATTTATTCCAATGTCCTCAAATAAATAGAGCAATAATACGTAACAATAAGATTAAAACACACACTGAAGTATATTTGTGGTATTTTTGATCTAAATCCACTATCAAAATAACAAATTTTCTGTTTTCAAGCTGTGAATGTATTACAAAAACTACTTCGATGAAACAAAAGTTTGTATTTGTGTACGAAATATGGGTTGCTTGCGCATGGTAGCAAGTTTTTAACCGGATTTATGACAAGTGACAGATTATATACTGAAAACGTCAGCGCAGTAAAAGCTGCGCGTCTTATTCCCGCCCAGGGAGTGTCATTACTGCTAGAATTTAATGTGCCAAAGATAATTTTTAGACTTCAATAAGCTTTATTTATAATTGAAATCATTAAAAACACTCTTCCAGTACGTATAAAGCAATGCGCGTGAGGTTCTGCGGTGAAGTCACAAATTGACAACTGTTTAGGGCCCTGTTTAGGGCAGATTTCAGCGTTGCGTTGTGTTAAACGAAGTTTAAAGGCATTTTTTTATAAGATTACTACAACATACTTTGTTACAGTATTGAATGACATATGTCAAATTTAATTTAAGTTTAAAAATTTATAAGTGGAATTTTAATTTTAGAAATTTTAGGATGTTCTGATTTTATTATTTTTTAATATAGTATGCTCTAGTAAGCTTATAAAGAAATGCCTCGTCAGATGCAGCTATATATGCTTTGATAACATATCACATCATCATAGTAACTAAACCTTATTAAGAAATGCTCTGGTAACATAAGTATGTTCTAGTAAGTTATGGTAAGCATATAAAGAAATGCCTCTTATTACTAAGCGAAGATTAAAATGACATTTTTACATTTAACGCTGTCAGCATTTGCGGGGATGTGCCTAAGATAGATATTATGAAATAAGTAAAAGAAGCAGAAGCATACAGTGTATTAGAGGACGAACCGGATTTTTACTATTATTATAACCGGTTCGAATATTCGGTTAACCAGTTCGATTATTCGGTTAACTGGTCCATATATCTGGTTAACCGGTCCATATATCTGGTTAACCGGTCCGGATATCCAGTTAACCGGTCCGATTATCCGATCAACCGGTCCGATTATCCGGTTAACCGGTCCTATTATCCGGTTAACCGGTGCGATTATCCGGTCCGATTAACCGGTCAACTGGTGTGATTATCCGGTTAACCGGTCCGATTATCCGGTTAACCGGTCCGATCAAACCGAGCTGGTCAAACCGGACTGGTTACACCGGATTCGGCGGTTTAACCGTAACCGTGACCAGGGTTTAACCGTAACCAGACCATTTAAATTAGAGTTTAATAAGAATATCAAATAGTGATATGTATTGTGTCTATGAATTTGTTGTGATTAGTAAATGGCCAATATATAAGTGTGAAAACTACGAAAACCATATACATATAGTTTTCATTTTTAAATAAATTCAAATTAATTCATAATAAAAAGTAACAATTTTAGTCTGCCATACTTGAACTCATTCATAAAAACAAGTCACTGAGTATATATTTGTAAAAAAAAAACTAAAGTAAATATGTCTTTATGATAAATTTTTATATTCAAAACTACATACTTTCCCATAGATTTTGCAGTACCTAAATAATGTATAGAATAAATTTCTACAATATACTAGAATTGTTTTAGAGTAATTCTTGAGAAATAAAGCAAAACATCTATTTTGTAACTCTATCCTTGTGTTTTATATATTTCCCTTGACAAAACTAACGTTATATTTTGAACTAAAAGTAATTAAACTTTTTACTAAAAAGTAATATTTTAGTTTCGAAATTTAAACATTTTTGACA